GAGAGAGAGAGAGAGAGAGAGAGAGAGAGAGAGAGAGAGAGAGAGAGAGAGAGCGAGAGAGAGAGAGAGAGAGCAAAGCAGAATTTAAAGTTCAAATGATGTAATAGTTGTTTGTACATGTAATGTCTTTCTTATTCTCAGCGTTGGGACTTACTCCTCCGAGATAATTCGAAATCTTTCATCATGAAATTGTGACAACGCCAAGTCAAGTTGTTTGTCAGCGGAAATAAATGACAGGGTTTGCTTTTATGAACTGTGTCCCATATGGCTGTTGCGTTCCTGCTCATTATGAACTGGGCAGGGCGACATAGCAACCTGGGACACGTTGTCAGAAACACAAGTAGATATGACTATCATTAATCTAAAATGTCCTGAATTTTGCATAGCACTTCACTTCAAAGGTTTTCAACATGAAGGTTGGAGATAAGGCACGAAGAACGCAGTAGTAAAGGTATCTCGAAGTAGATGTGTACGCCTGACGTGCATATGTTCACGAGGGTGAGAGTATTCAGTAGAGAGAGATATTCGGAGAGATATATTCAAGTATGAGAGCGTACAACGGTAAAAGGCAAAATACATGTTGTAGTTTTTGTGGAATTAGTAAACTTTACCTGTTTTATTTTGACAATTCTTTGCGGTATTATTATTCAGCTGTCCTTTCTTGATAATATAAAACCAACCGCTTGTCTCTACGCTGAGATATTAAGCGGTGAAAATTTCGTATTTTGCCGAAAATCGAACTCGAGTTCACTGCCAGCTGCGACTCTCTCGCGTTTCAGTATGTTGTTTCCGGTCGCCGCCGTGTAGCGCCATGGTAGCGCTGACTTATTACGTCATTACTACAGTCAAGAGCGTGTTAAGTATGCTTACTTAATACGCACGCATACTTAATGCATGCGTACTTAATGCATTATATTACATTAACCTGACGTGCATATATTGAACGTTGCATTCGAGGAGCAACAAGGTCATGCGAAGTAAGTGTGTCCCGCAGTGTTCCTGTTGCAGGTGGTGGATTCTCCTGCAACGCTTGCGCAAGCGCCACGTGTCTCACTCCGATATATATATATATACAATTTATATATATATATATATATATTATATTCCGAAACATGTTGTGAATGATCGATGACGTCATTACAATCACGTGGACCGAGAAAAGATCTATGCCGCGTGCGATATCTAGCCCCACGTGATCGTCACGGTTCGATCGGTTCGATCGGTTCAATTACATTAAACATGGACGTCAAATAATGTGCACGTATATCAGGTATAGGGTAAATATACGGAAAACGAGTGTTTTGACTGTGGAATGGCGCTATACATGAACCTTAGCCGAAAGTTCACGTGTTTCGTTTTTATCTTAGCATTCTCTCACGAAACGTTAAAATTGCAGCAAAACTGTCGATGATTGACGACGGCTTTATCTATATAATATTTTAACGCAAAGAACTGGTGAAGAAATTTGGTTCTTAATTGTCCACGATATTTTTTCCATTTTTTTTCAAAAGATTTTCAGCGTAGCACAGACCCACACATTAGCAATTTATATTCTATCATAATTATAAAGTGGTGTGTTTTACGACCCTTTTAGGTGAAAATAATGTAAAATGGATTATTCATTGACTTTGTAGTTTTCGATGTATACGGCTACACGTATGAGAAGGTAGCCCTTTTAGTTGCAAGGGACCAAGGAATACTATAAAAACCGTACATTATCAGTGATTTCTCTAAAGCATAGTTAGTATAACTAACTCTGAATAGTACTAAGAGGAAAAATAGGGTTTCGAATATACATTGCCAGCCGAGAAGAATATTCTGGAGGCACGTGTTTCACTGAGCTATAATTATTCTGAAATGCCGCGCGTGTGTGTGTGTGTGTGTGTGTGCGTGCGTGCGTGCGTGCGTGCGTGCGTGCGTGCGTGCGTGTGCGCGCGCGCGTTTGCGTGTGTGCGTTCGTGCGTGCGCGTGCGCGCGCGTGCGTTCGTGTGTGTGCGCGTGTGTGCGTGTGCGTGTGTGCGTGCGCGTGCGTTCGTGTGTGTGTGCGTGTGTAATTTATAAAAAATACTATTTTGGATTACGAACTGCGTTTAAGTCTTTATATGACAAATATTATATTATTGTATATGACAAATTGAATCAAATTTAATAAAATTGCGTAATGCTGAGCATAATTCAAACATTTCACACAAAATAATAGATGGCAAATATAGTGAAATTGAAGGCGCAAATTGGCTGAATATAATGGATGGACTGTTTCATGTCACTGTCAGTCGTGAATACTAGCAGTCAAGTGATGCATTCGCAAAGGTGGAACCAGCGTTTTACTTTAAAATTGCGATTCAGTCGGGGTTATAAAGGCACATTGAGGAATATCTTGCTTTAATAATGTTGAAACAAGGGGCGCGGGCGCTGCGAATTTACCCGCCTGTTGTAATTGAAGTGTTAAACATAACGAATCAATACCAAACAGTTGATGTTGAATGGCAGTGAAAGCCATTACCGCTTTCTTTTATTATTAGGCAAATGCTTGGGACATTTACTGGGGATATTTGTCACTGCTCGTTATGGCCAATTTAACACAGGAGGCTAATTGCCATATATGTAGGCGTACATTTATCTACGCTATAGAGAAACTGCCTCTGTCGTGTGGAATGGGGTGTGGGGTTTGGAATAGGCACGACCTAGTCTCCTACTTGCATCTAGCCTATGTCCCTTTTACATTGCATATGCATTAAAGAACCTTAGTCTCGATTGTTCGGACAAAAATCTTGAACCATCTTTTCCATCTTTAAAAATGCGAATTCAAGGCCTTCGTCGCCATTTTAAAGCATTTTCTCAGAAACGTTCCTCCGGCAAATGTCCTCCAGATTTGGTACTGCTTATCATCATGGGTTATCGTGAACGTTCGCGACGTATCTTTTTTTGGAAATAACGTAATTTACTCAAGTGTCGTCAAACTTTACCGTCCGGCGCTAACGCTGCTGGGCGTTTATGGTGCAATGTAGTGCTACTATAAAGTATATTGCCGGCAGCCCGTCGGACTACCCTGATGTCGGAGCAATATGACTCTATCTGGCAAGCTTGTACATGGGCTAGACGTTGCCTGTTGCTAGATTTCCTCAATCAATAATTCATAATAATAAATGAACAACAACAACAACATTAATAATAATAACAATAATTGATAATAATCGCCTTAACAATTATTGTCAAGGCAGCTCTGTCTGGAGCGGCCTAGCTCATATTTCCAGGGTTAAGGTACTTCATATTTAATGTTTCAACGCTTCTTATTTAATGTCACTCTACCAATGTGCGGCAAAACTACAGTAGATCCCGAACGACAGGGTTGATTTAAAAATACCGCCAAAGCCGGGCCTCTTCCCGGGGGATGGGCACATCTCCTCTCTACCGAGGAGAAATTGCACATTCTGGTGACCCGAGTGAACCTTATCCTCTCTAGATCCTTCTATGAGGAATCTATGATATAATTAGTGATTTGTTGGTAGAACTATCCTTTATACTATATAATTGCTAATCTTGAAACAGACAGCTGCGCAAAGGTTTGACACTTGACACGTTCACTCTTGATATAATAATGATTAATTATATATAATATCATAATTATTATGAACACGTTCTCAGCTAGCTCACTCGAAAGCTTAACAAAAGCCTCTCATCTCTCCGCCTTTAGTCCTTGAACCTGTCCAATGTCATCTTCACGTCTCTCGCGGGAGTATGAGCGACGCACGCTAATTTCCGGTTGCGTATCGTACTCCCCCCCCCCCCAACGATAGAATCCAGGATTGATGGATTCAAAATGAGCACTGCTCGCAATATTCGGTGTGTTTTTTTTGTTCAGCCTTCGCCGCCCATGTGAATGATTCGAATCGTAATAGTTAAGATTTCTTTGCGTTTCGTTACAGTTTCTCGCGCTCGCCGGCTTGATGCTGCTATTACTGGCTCTATATGAGAACGCCGAGTACATCTTCTGCTATGACGAGGAGAAAGAGGAAATGAGAGTGAAATTGCAGACAAACCATCGCTGGACAAATGTGAGTCGACATGAAGCTAGAATTTGAAAGAATAAACACTCGCATATATATCTACCAGATTGCAATGCTCGAGTATATTGAATGTTCGGACGCGAGCGTGCGATTGTGTCCGCTATGCTGCAGCAACGATACGACACTTTTTTGTAGTGCAATACGTAGCTGCAAGCTTGATTTGCCTTTTCACTCATAGTGCAGCCTCCATCCTAGTAGTTTAGTTAATTGGGCGTAGAGACATAGCAGATCTATACGATGCATTACTTCCACCCGTGGCGACATTTATGCCGACACTAGAAACCACAATGAACCTAATTTTCCTGCATGTTCGTGTGCTGCTGTAGTATCAATCATTTGGTTCTAGGCACAGTATGTCTTTACGATTGATTTGCTTCAATTGAATACTACTATTTGATTGACCAGCCGCGCTAGACCAACACGCACTTTAGTTACAGCTACACAATCACTATGCAGTTACGATGATTGACAGAAGTGGTTACTACACGGAACACTATGTACGTAAACCCGTCAGGACCGCACCCACGTTATTAGCGAGGCTGTCTTTAAACGGCGGCAGTTCGGGGTAGGTTAAGTGTGCGGCGAAAACGTCGTATGTATAGTCGCTGCTGCCGTCAGCGTTGAATTCAAGGCAAGGAAATCGAAGAGTAAACAGAATACTAAAGCTGAGCGCTGTCTGCTTTCAAGCTTGGCGACCTCTTAGCTTTTTCGACTGGGAACACGAGTTCCAATACATCGCCGTCGCTTCAAGTAAAGTTGCTAACTAATAAGATGACTTTTTTTTATTTTATGCCAAGTGTTAGATTTTTTTTATTGCATATACGCGACGCAATAGCTAGAGAACATGAGCGTCACAGCATGGCCAGACTCTTAAGACGGTCTTATTAAAAATTGCATTTCCATTGACCAAGAGCAATATATATTATATAACTTCAACTTACTCTACTTGACTGAGCTGAAAATGAATTCGTTCTAATCTTCGGCTCGTGAATACAGAAACGGCTAAATTATGATTTTGTGCTAGTCCGCGGCCTTCAGTTAAAACCATAGCTTGGATTTAGCCTCTTTCATTCCCAGCTTGATTAATAACGGTAGTTTGCCCGTATCATCGTAACGAATCTAGTGTGTGCGCTTTCAACAACACGTATTGTCATGTCCCTTCCAAAGGTCTTACAATCTTGAAAGTCTATATAACTAAATCTGCTTTAATATTGTTCATCCTTGTATTTCGACGGGTATAGCACGCGTATAACAATAAGAAATCTCACAATGATATATTGATATACGGCAAACAGCTCACACGCTCATTTCAACCCGCTGAAAAGGAGGCTGTGTTTATATGCACGCCCCTGTGCAATCGTTGTCAGCTTGTTCAAGCAGCCGACTAGGCATGCATCGGCGGGGTAACACAAGCAGTCGAACAATATCGGCGTACTTCGCTTAAAGGATTACCGTGTCACGGCGACCCGTAGTAGAATGGCGATTCCTCTGCAAAGTCTCTCTCTCTCTCTCTCTCTCTCTCTCTCTCTCTCTCTCTCTCTCTCTCTCTCTCTCTCTCTCTCTCTCTCTCTCTCTCTCTGTCTCTCCACACTCCATCGCAAATTGGAGATGCCCTTTTCTCCCAAGAGCGCGTCGCTCGTCACGCTAACCTTTCACGGCTTGCGTGTTCACGGCCTACGCGCCGTGCCGATGACGGCGGCACAGCAGCCCACCAGCTTTACGTGGGACTCACGTGATCTCCGGGGGGGGGGGCTAGTCACGTAGCGTGTCGGTGTGCGTACGTACGTGGTAGTCGCGTATGTAGACCCGTAGTGCGTACGTACGCGGTAGTCGCGTATGTAAACTGTACTAGGCTAGCTGACTTCATACAGACTGTACTAAGCTGACAGCATACAGACTGTACTAAGCTGACGTCATACAGACTGTACTAGGCTGACGTCATACAGACTGACTGCAAAATTTGATCCCACATCAAACTAGTCCAGGCCAGACGCGCGCCAGACACGCGTTAAATCGTAGCGTACACCACAGACACAAAATTCCGAAGCATGCTAGGTTGGCACGGGCTGACTGCGCATACTCAGTTTAGCTTGTTACGTCACTCCGCAGAGAGCTAATGTACGTTTATGGGACCTAAGTAACACTATGCGCATCCGTATTGCGAAATAGCACGGGGTTTGGCCCGCGTGTTGCGTACACACACAGCTTAGACCGGGCTAACTTAGTCCGGGCTGACTTAGCACGCTTCTAAGCAAGCGTGGCCCTACCTCCTTTATGGGGTTACATTAGTCCGGGCCAGCGCGTATATAGACCAGGATAGCGCGTATACACTGCAAAAATTGGCCCGCGCCTAGCCTGGACTAGTTTGATGTGGTATCAAATTTTCAGTTTGTACGGGGTAAAGGTTGCGAGCTGTGGTGCCAAGGTCGTGAAGAACCCGACTCACATTCCCAATGCAAACTATGCGGCGATGTGTTCGTCTCTTGTCAATGTGAAGGTTTTCGACATGTCTGGGTCGATTTGGATCTGAGGCGCCTTGATGCCTAATTGACTCAGATTTCCTAGTGCAAACACGGCGTGCCTCTAACTTCATTTACGACTGTTTTATGACGAATTTGTTATATCCCTCGTGCCGCTACCGTACACACGAATGAACTGATGCAGCCATATTGATTGTATGCGAATCTGAAATTAGCACTTCCGTCACGTGTGGAATAATTGTCAGGCTTATAACTTCCTGTTTTCGGAGACAGTTGGTATATATATATATATATATATATATATATATATATTATATATATATATATATTCTGATGATTATGACAGTAAAAGTTACCTAATTTATAGCGGCA